TGGGCTGGACTTCTCTTCCCCTTCCTTCCCACAGCTTATGCCTTCCTTGAAAGACATCCAGAGTCTTCAGGTCCCCCACTTGGACTTCATTACGCAACTGCCTCCAGCTGGCTCTCGGCTTCCACCCTCCTCCTGCCCAGTTAACCCCACTGTGGCTGGGGACCTTTTAAGAAGCCTCTCAAATCCTCTTCCTGATCCACCCGGTGGAAACATCAGCATCCTATCCACAGCATAAGAAGCCTCTCTGCTTTCCTTCAAAAGCCCTCCTAGCTGCCTTTCTGTGCCTCAGCCTCTCTGGCTTCCTGGCTGTGTTAGACTAGACCACCCTTTTCTGCCACTATCCACTTTCCCAAACCTGTTCCCCCCTCTCTTTTCTCTGTCTGTGACCTAATGAACCCTTCTCAGTGGGAAATCCCTTTAAAAATCAGAATCTGGCCCTAGTCAACATGGGGCTCACCAGCTATGGTAGGGCTGAAGGTGAAGAGAGTGACCTATGAAAGTGACTTGGGCAGAAGCAGGAGAGCAGGTCCCTGGCCTCTCTGGGTCCCTTCCTCTCTCTGTTCCATGCTCCAGTCCCCATCTTCTGCAGCTATCACATGTACTGGTCTTGGGAGCTTACCTTCATGTCTAAGGGGTCTGAATCCTGGCTATGCCACATTTTTCTGCTGGTCAGAGCTACTCACTCCTCCCTGATGTCCTTAGCTGCTGGTCCCTGGTCCCCAGGAGCCTCAAGAAGAACAATATACTCCCTGGTGGGTTATTTGAAAGGGATACTAGGGATGGCTTTTTTTCCCCACCAACTCTAGCTCCTAGACACTTGTGCCTGTCCTCTGCAGATGAAGCACCACAGAAATGCCTCTGATTCATAGTATATGTCTGGCAGGACAGCAACTATCTTTATAGGCCATTGTCCCCAGCCTGTGTGCCTGCAGGAGGCTGTCCCTGCAGCATAGAATGCAGCTGCTCCTTCAGGATGTGGGTACCTGGTTTTGGACCACTCTTGTCCTCTTACTGAGAATCGGTATCTTAACCAGATGCTGCATATGTGGGTACATGTGCCCATGAATGGAGACTCTGAAAGCTGTTGCATGGTGCTGAGTGGGTAAGTAGGGTAGCCTGATATGGTGATATTTTATTTGTATTAAAATGTTATTTGTATGTTAATAAATAAAGTTGCCCGGGGGTCAGAGCTATTAGCAAGCCATAGGAAAGCAGGGCAGTGGTGGCGTACGCTTGTAATTCCAGCACTTGGTAGGCAGAGCTGGGTAAGTCTCTGTGTGTTCAGGGATACAGCCATTATTGGATACACATGCCTTTAATCTTTTTTTTTTTTTTTTTTTTTTTGGTTTTTCGAGACAGGGTTTCTCTGTGCAGCTTTGCGCCTTTCCTGGGACTCACTTGGTAGCCCAGGCTGGCCTCGAACTCACAGAGATCCGCCTGGCTCTGCCTCCCGAGTGCTGGGATTAAAGGCGTGCGCCACCACCGCCCGGCGCCTTTAATCTTAATACCAATCATGGAAAACCTGGAGGCCTATACAGACAGGCCGTGAGGAGGCGGTCATGTGGTTGGGTTTACAACCAATGAGAAGGCAGGACAGGAACTCTATATAAAGACTTTAACACAGGGGTAGCTCTGGTTCGGAGAGGTAGGACCACCGCAGGAGGAAGGGTAAGGTTTTAGCTCTTAGCTCTGACCTCTTGGCTTTCTTCTTTGCATTGGTTCTGTGTTTCTTATTTAATAAGAAGGTTGGATACATCTACAGCCTGAACCAGGAGAAGGAGGCCACAAGGTTAGCTCATTACCATGTATGCTCCTTGAAGGGCTATTTCTTTGGAGTTTGCTCCAGGGATGGGTCCATGGCCAGGCACTCAAAAGTAGTAGGAACAAGTGTTCAGCAGATGGGATTAGAGCTTTTGGGCTCACGTGAGCCTCCAATATGGACACTGCATTTCACTAACATGCCAGTCACAGGGTACACTCAGGTGGGTGTCTGCACATGATACACAAACTGTCATGTTCATATCACATGGCATCCACATGGTCCTGGATCAAGGCTCTCTGTCCCCATCAATAGGCCTTTTCCTCCAAGGTTCTTGGCTCACCAGGACACTGGGCATTGCCTCTGGTCTTGTGTTCTTTATCTATACAAGGCTCTCCCTGAGAGAATCCACCAGGGTAGGGTGCCACATAGTGAGTGACCTTCCCTATTTATGCATTGCCTTGGTCCAATCAGGGCCAGTCAAGTTCCTGTGCCTGTGTGCCCTCCACACTGGTATCTCTGCTGGCCTCAGGACCCTCCATCTCTGTGCTGAACCAGAACTATGGCCCTTGAGAGGGTGAACTCTAGGTCTGTGTGGCCCTACACAGGTGACTGACTCTACATAGAGCAGTGGCTCTCAACTTTCCTAACACTACGACCCTTTAATACAGTTCCTCTTGTTGTAGTGACCTCCAACCATAAAATTATTTTGTTGCTACTTTATAACTGTAATTTTGCTACTGTTATGAATCATAATGTAAATATCGGACATGCAACGCAGAGGGGTCACGACCCACAGGTTGAGAAACACTGACATGGGATGTCTGGGGACTAATGAGGTCATGCATGCAAGCAGTGAGTCTGGCCTATAGGGGGCACACATCACCATCAGCCAGTGTCCTTATCAAACCTCTGGGCTAACTCAACCTCCTACCTGCTGTTTCTGGCCTCCATTTTTGGAGAAAGATTTCCAGGCTCCAAGAGATGGGGTAGCTTCCCCCAAGATCACACTGCTGAACCTTCAATGTTAGAGTCTGAAGTGACCTTGGCTAGGTGTCCTTATGGAGCTTGGCATCCTCAAAGTTCCTATGAGGGTGCAGGGAGCTGGCCTGTAGGACATGGGCATTCCACCTGCTCTCCGTTTGTGTTACGTTCCAAAACACCAGCACACCAGCACCATAGACAGCTGTGCGGCAGTGGGGTTGAATTGTGTCCACCCAGCTGCTGGTCACCAGGGAAATGCCCTTTGTCCCAGGTGGTTCCCTGGGGGTGGGCAGCAAGTAGAAACATCTATGGAGACCTGGACAGGAGCAGCTTGTGAAGAGTGGGCCTCCATGTTACCCAGTCCTGAGTTCTTCAAAGGGTCCCAACCTCCACTCGTGATTGGTGGGCCAAGTCAGAGTGATGACCAATACTTAGAGTAGTTCAGAGTGGGGCTGGGATTGGCTAAGACTTTACAAGAATTTTTACAAACTTTTATTGACTATCTCCCTCAATCCTGTGTCAAGATGCGGACATTGAAGCTCCAACCAGTAAATGTCATCTAGGGGTACCTCTAAACTCCCTCTAACTCTATCTCCTGAGGACTCTGGGAATTCTGAACATGTCCAGTTTGACTCACTTTGTCAGAGGTAGTTGGGGGAGCAGAACTTTGGGGAGGTGCTGGGTAGGACTGAAACTGAGCTCTGCCCAGCACTTCAGGCCACAGGAGGGCTTGAAGGGCATGCTTGATGGTGCCCACTAGGTCAGCTGGAGCTTGTCACCCCTTTCCAGGACACATTCTACTTTGGCCACTAGTTAGGTGCCTGAACCCAGCACAGCTTCTGGAGAAGCCAGTGTGGTGCAGAGGGGAGCCTGGAGGCTCCTAAGAGCAGATCAGGGAGGGATTTCTGGAGAGATATGTTGGAATCCACCCCTCCCCCACAGAAGCTTCTTGGGTGGGACCGTGGGCCTGGGGTAGAGGCTCCTGGGGTAGGTAGCAGCCCTGAGGCTAGAACAAAAGAATGCCTGTCCCTACTGCCCAAAGTTTTCAGAGGACCACTTTGGTTGGGGGGAGGGGCGGGTCCTCACATGACCAGCAGCTGACTGTCAGTGTGGGGTGCTTGGAGCGGTGCCTGGGGTCCCCCTCCCCCACACTCACACAGACCGCATTTCTGTCCTCTTTGAGGCATCCACTGATGTGTGCCGCTGGTGGCAGAGGACAGTCGCTGCTTCCCTCTCCCTCGGGCACTGTTCCCTGTCTGCTGTCTGATGTCTGACTATTCGTGGGTCCCAGCCCGATGCTGGGTAGCTGTTTTCCTGACTATAGATGTCTGTGTGTCAGAGCGTGGGTGTGTCTGTCTGTCTGCAGGGAGCCTGCTAACTCTGTCCTTGACCTCCAGTATCTGTGTCAGAGGAGGGGGCCGGCCCTGCTCCTCCCCCTCCCATAGGCACTAACGCAGCTGCCACCACCCTGGCTGCACCTAGAACTCAGTGACCTCACTTGTCCACTGCAGCAATGACCACCCTACGAGCGATCAGAGGCATTGGTGGCCGGAACCACGCTGCTTTGTGGGTCGCCCCTCCACCCAGGGCTGCTGAGTCCTGGGTGAACGTGCTCAGCTCTGGGCTGGGTCCGCTCAGGCTCGTTTTTTCCCTTATGTAACTCCACATCTGTGTGCGCCTTGCAGGTCACCCTGGACCCTGTTCTGAGCTCTGTCTAACCACGTGGAGACTGAGACCCACAGTTCTGTGCATAAGAGGCTGGAGAGAACCCCTGTCCCGGGCGACTCTTTCAGAGACCCCTCCCCAATACTTCTTTGGACATTTCTTACCCCAGAATCCTACTTTCCCAAAGCAATATGCGAGAAGGAATCCTGGGGCGTAAGCTCCCCAGAGCTGGGGTGCAGTCCTTTCCCCACCCCACCCGGGCCCTGTCCCGGAACCTCACAAGCTCAGGGGCTACGGACAAGGGTTGAGCAGGGATCACCAGTGCCGAGGGCACGAGGATGGACGGATAGCCAAGGGACCAGCTTCTAGGTGCGACCTCAGACAGGGTCCCCAACCCTGTGGTTGGTTAGTGACCCGGCCGGGCTCTCCGCCAGCCGCTGTGAGCACCTGGGCAGGGTCTCTAGTCGGCCGGCGGGCACGCGGCGCTGTCCGTGGTGCTGCCCGCGCCGGGCGGGGCGGAGGCGGGACGGAGGCGGGGCGAGGGCGCCAGCCAATGGCGGGGGCTCTGCGCGGGGCGCGGGGGGCGGCGGGCCGGGCGCGGGGCGCACTCGGCTGCGCGCTAAGCTCCGGGTGCACCGACGCTCCGCGGGCGGCTGGAGCTCGGCTTTGCTCTTGCTGTAGCAGCCGCGCCGCCCGCCCCACTCGACTCAGATTCCGACCCCAGCCCCCTCTGCACCGCCCTCCCGGACTCCAACCCAGGCTCCCATACCCGGCCCCGCGGACCATGCTCCGGGCACCCCCCGGAAAACCGGGCTGGGTGAAGAGCAGGCAAAGACTAGGCTCCCGAGCAGGGGCCCCACCCGGCTGCCCTTCTTTCGGCCCGCACCCTGCCCTGTGTCCCTGAGCGGTGTGAGCCTGCTGGGCCATGGAGCGCGCGCCGCCCGACGGGCTGCTGAACGCGTCGGGCGCTCTGGCCGGTGAGGCGGCGGCCACAGGCGGGGCGCGCAGCTTCTCCGCTGCCTGGACCGCTGTCCTGGCTGCGCTCATGGCGCTGCTCATCGTGGCCACAGTGCTGGGCAACGCTCTGGTCATGCTCGCCTTCGTGGCAGATTCGAGCCTCCGCACCCAGAACAACTTCTTTCTGCTCAACCTCGCCATCTCCGACTTCCTCGTGGGTAAAGCCCCCAGACCCCGTCCGCTGCCAGAGTCCAGGGGCGCGGAGCCCGGGCTGGGCAATGGGGCTTGGCGCTCCGACCTGGGGTGGCTTCTTAGGGTCCGGGCCTGGGGAGGGAACCTCTAGAAACCTTAGGATGGTATGCGCGGGCGAAGTTCCTCGCCTTCCGGGCCACAGGACAGGGCCTGGGTAGGAAGGTCCCCGGGGAGGCTGCCCCAGTCCGCGGGAGCTCAACAAGGCGCAAGGCGCAGCAGCAACCGCGGGTGCAGCGCTGGCTCCTGCGCCGAACCAAACAAAGGCAGCGGCGCCGGACTCAGGCTTCTGTGAGGACGCTGGGGGGAGGGGACATGGAAGGGGGATTTGGGGAGCTGTGCTGGGGAAGGGGACCATGGGGGAAGGCGGGGGTGAGATGAAGGAAATGCTCTGAGGAGCTCGTTCTCACGTGTCCAAGCTCTGCTCCCGACTGGGGGAGGGGGGGCGGGGCACGCGGTGGGGGCCCGGAGCGCCAGACACCTGTTGGGGCTGCGAGCTGCTGCGTCTCCCAGACGCTGGAAGCCGGTTTGGGCGGCGAGAGCGGCTGGCGCGGCTGCAGCCAAGAACCTTTTAAGCCAAGAGAAAAGCTTTCTCGGTTTTTAAGCTGAGAAGGGAGGCGGTCCAACAGCCAGGATAGGGATGGATGATTGGCTCCAGTACCAGACAGCCTGGGAGGACATATACCCTCTTTTCCTCCTTTTGGCCGTAGGTAGGGTTGGCAGAAGCCCAGGTTCTGGGTCCAGAAGTCCTTATGTGGAGGTCCTTCCTCCTGCCTCCAGGTCCAGGAGACATCGGTGGTCTGGAGATTTTGTGGAGGCTGGAGGCTGGCAGTTGCTCAGTTGTGGGGGAACAGGGTAAATAGGATTGTTGGTCCTAGAGAGATGGCTACCCTATGAGGGCCAGGTTATGCCCTCTCTCCATGTGGTCGGTCGGTCTGACCCCAAGTCCTGAGCCATGGTCCCACCACAGCTGCTCTCCTCTAGGTGCCTTCTGCATCCCATTGTATGTACCCTATGTGCTGACGGGCCGCTGGACCTTTGGCCGGGGCCTCTGCAAGCTGTGGCTGGTGGTAGACTATCTGCTGTGTGCCTCCTCAGTCTTCAACATCGTGCTGATCAGCTATGACCGATTCCTGTCAGTCACTCGAGCTGTGAGTTCTGGGATGTGGGAATTAGAGTCTATTCCGTGTGTTGGGGGCACTGGACAGGGAATGGCTGCAGGCGGATGCCTGGTGGGCTTGCTCCCTTTTGACACATAAGTCACTTTCAGTGACCATTAACTGCTGATAGTTTGAGCACGGGACAGGAGGTTAGCTTGGAATCTTGCAGGAAGGGGTGTCAGTGTACAACCTCTATCCTGGGCAGGTCTAGAATCCCTGGAACTGAAAGAGGGTCTTCATCCTTCCCACTTTTCTGCACACGGAGGTGTACGCACATAACCCCAGGAAGGTCGGCCACAGCTCCTAGCTGCACAAGCTCCAGTGGTGTGGAACGGGGCTGCAGCTCTTGCTTCACCTTCTCTCCTTGATGGCTCCCTCACCTCAGGTTTTATCCGGGGGCAGCCTGAGGATCGGCTTGCAAAGAGTACCAGCATGGAGCCCTCTTGAACCTCCCTAGGTCCCTTCAATCCCTTGAACCACTGAGAGAGTGGTGCAATCACAAGGCTACTGTGGTGGGTGCCCAGTATAGAGCTGGCATGTGGCAGGTGTGCCCTAGACCTGTGGTTAGCACAAGTTGCGATGGTTGGTCTTGTGCTTCCCAAGGTGGCTATCAAGGACACGTCTTCCAGCTTTCCCACTGAGGCTCCATAGCGGGATTCTTGCCCCTCCTGTACCCTTGTTTAGTAGTTGCACTTGGAGGTTAGATGCTGTATCTTGGAAAAGACTAAACGGCCCTACCTTCTTACCTTTCCTAGGCATTCTCCTTCTAGAAGAGGAGACAGGGTTCTTAATTCTTGTGTGTGTGTGGGGGGGTGTGTCTCCAGCAGTGGGCCAGCAGTGGTTTACCTCTGTACTCCCAGCTCCAGTACTGGGAGAAAGGAAGTACTGGAGCAGAGACAGGGCAAAGCCCTTTCCCCCTCAGCACAGCTGGCCGCTGAAGATGGCTCTGGCCCTTGAAGCAAGAATCAGAAACAGTTGTGTGTGGCTCCTGGGTGTGGTAAATGCTAATCTGGGTGCTAGTGAGGCAGTAACCAAAGGCAGGACCCCCCGGAGCTTGTAGCTGGTGGGGGATGGTAAAGAGGCAAGATTCTGGTTGGTTGTGGGAGGCGCCAAGGCTCTGGGAGAGTGTCAGCCAGGGGACACAGGCACAGGAGGGTTTATGGAGAGAAGGAACACGGCACCTTGCCCATGGCAGGCCCAGAGGCCCAGAGAGTGTTCTGAGCGTCCAGTCCGATGTTCCTGACCTCTTGGTCTGTGCGTCCTCCCGCAGGTCTCCTACCGGGCCCAGCAGGGGGACACACGAAGGGCAGTGCAGAAGATGGCACTAGTGTGGGTGCTGGCCTTCCTGCTGTACGGGCCTGCCATCCTGAGTTGGGAGTACCTGTCTGGTGGCAGCTCCATCCCCGAGGGCCACTGCTACGCTGAGTTCTTCTACAACTGGTACTTCCTCATCACGGCCTCCACTCTGGAGTTTTTCACGCCTTTCCTCAGTGTTACCTTCTTCAACCTCAGCATCTACCTGAACATCCAGAGGCGCACCCGCCTCCGGCTGGACGGGGCCCGTGAGGCTGGTCCAGAACCCCCACCTGACGCCCAGCCCTCACCACCTCCAGCTCCCCCCAGCTGCTGGGGCTGCTGGCCCAAAGGGCATGGGGAGGCCATGCCACTGCACAGGTACGGGGTGGGCGAGGCAGGCCCTGGTGTGGAGGCTGGGGAGGCTGCTCTCGGGGGTGGCAGTGGTGGGGGCGCTGCTGCCTCACCCACCTCCAGCTCTGGCAGCTCCTCGAGGGGCACTGAGAGGCCACGCTCACTCAAAAGGGGCTCCAAGCCATCAGCGTCTTCAGCATCCCTGGAGAAGCGCATGAAGATGGTGTCCCAGAGCATCACCCAGCGCTTTCGGCTGTCACGGGACAAGAAGGTGGCCAAGTCTCTTGCCATCATTGTGAGCATCTTTGGGCTCTGCTGGGCCCCGTATACACTCCTAATGATCATCCGAGCTGCTTGCCATGGCCACTGCATCCCCGACTACTGGTACGAGACGTCCTTCTGGCTTCTGTGGGCCAACTCAGCCGTCAACCCCGTGCTCTACCCGCTGTGCCACTACAGCTTCCGCAGGGCCTTCACCAAGCTCCTCTGTCCCCAGAAGCTCAAGGTCCAGCCCCATGGCTCCCTGGAGCAGTGCTGGAAGTGAGCAGCTGCTCCACTCTTCTGCGGCTGTACCCTTGTATTTGTTTCATGGGCAGCCCCAGGTGTGGGCCCTGCCTTGTCCATGGCCGCTCTAAACGCCATGATAGCCTCTTAGATCATCAGCCCTGCAGTGGGGCAGCCTGGTAGGCTGGCTAGGGGCCCTCACTGGTGGAACTGGAGCATGCTGGCTGGCTCTGCCGCCACATTCTCCATCACCCCAGAAGAGACAATCCAGGAGTCCCAGGCATGCATCCCACCTCCACAGACAACGCAGTGCCAGTGGGGTCCCCTTTTGCACACTTAGTGGTTGGTGTCCTCTCTAATGCAAATCTTGGTGTGTGCTCCAGGCTCCTGCCCCAGCAGTGTGCCCTGCATGTGCACACAACTGCCGCACACCCACCACACACTGCAACTCTTCCCTCTCCCAGACAATCTGGGGATGATGCTCTTTGCTGCCTTTGTCTCTTGCTTAAGCCCAGAGCCTAGTTCCTTTAACCTTATCCCTTCAACTCTTTGCCCCACCAAGTGTCAAGTGCCCCAGGAACCTTGAAGCCTTGCTCTGCTTTTCCATTCTGGATGTTTTCAAGGAAGATGGAAGAGAAGAAAACACGTCTGTGAACTTGATGTTCCTTGGATGTTTAATCAAGAGAGACAAAATTGCCGAGGAGCTTGGGGCTGGATTGGCAGGTGTGGGCTCCCACGCCCTCCTCCCTCAGTGCTGCAGCTTCCGGCTGAGCCGCCGAGCCAGCTGCTTCTGCCCGCCCCGCCCCCAGGCTGGGGACGCTGGCCCCACTGGCAGGGATGCCTGCTCCGCTGGCCGAAGCCCGCCCTGCCTGCCCCGTCTGTGCAATCAGAACTTGGGGGTGGGTGCATGGGTTGTTGGATAGAGGGGTTCTTGACTGCCCTGGGGGTCCTGAGGCATAGAGGGGAGTCAGCAGAAGAGCAGGCTGGGGATGCCTGGGAGGACCGCTTTGCCTTGTCCTGTGTGCCCACCTCAGGCCTCTGCATGCTTTGCTGTTTTTGTGCCCTGGTGTTGCTGCCTCTGCCAATGTGAAGACACAATAAAGTGTATTTTTTTATTGGTGCTGACTTTTGAGGACTTTGTGGGAGTAGCTATTGTTCAGGGTTCCAATTGGAGGCCCCATGGAGACAAGAATGTGACCTTGGTATTCCAACTGGGGAACTAGGTGGGAGAAAAGTCAGGCTGTCGTCCCAGGGTTTGGTTCCCACAAAGGACTGTTCCCAGAGGTGCCCCATCACAAAACTCAAGGGCCTGTAGGGGCAGAGACCGAGCTTCTGCCCCTTTTCCAGGCGGGTGGCATGGTACTGGACTGGCTCACATGTGCCTTCAGAATCCATCAGTGTAGCCAGTCTGTTCCAAGATAGTTGCTCAGCTTTCTTGACAGAAATCATTCATTGTCATGGCTTTGACCTTACAGGCTGGTAGCCCGGCTGTGTGCTGGCAAGACACAGGCCCCAGGAAGAGCCTTGACCATGCCTCATGCTTCAAGAGAAGCTCAGGAAAGTGGTAGCAAAAGGGCTGGTGGGACCAGAGAGCACTTCTGGGGTCATGAGGACTGCAACTGGCCTTGTGGGGACTGAGAGATGCAGAGGCACCATCCCAGGCAAAGATCTGCATGTGGTTGAAGGTTGGGGAAAGTAGGAAGAAGACAGGATGGAGGGTGAGTGAGTGACACTACCTTCAGTGGACAGCCTTATGACTAGCCTCACCATCCGGAACAGGACAGCCTGGCCCTTGTGTTACCTCACCACCACCTTGATCTTCAGAGACTTCACCTTTCCTCCTCTGAGCCGGGAGGGAACTTGTCACCATAGCCTCACAGCCAGGCACCGTGGGGTCATCACTGTAGTGAGGGATGTCACACCCAAGCAAAGCTCCATGGTAGCTCAGTGCCACACAGAGGAAGCAGCCATGAAGCTTTCTTCCTGTATCCAGATGTGCTACCCTGCAGCTGCACCTGCACTTGTCTTTCCCAACTACTTGACAACTCCCAAAGGGCAGACCCTCCCCTCTTCTGTCTCTCTCTCCAGATTTGAGAAGATCCTCTGGGCTAGAGTACACAGTGAGCCTGGGGTTCTGGACCTTCCTTTATAGTCACTGTCTTCTGTGCCTTACTGGCCCACCTGGGCCCTATCCTGAGCGGTTGGGAGTGGTAAGAGCGGATGCCACCTTCGTTGCTCAGCACTCCCCCATCTTGTCCCTGAGAGCCGAGAGGTTTTGTGGCTTCCCCAGCAGGCTGGCACTAGCTCCCTCACCCTTCACTGGGCCTGGCCTCCCCAGTGGGTGTCTGTCCCCAAAGCCAGGAGTGATCTGGGGAAGGACAAAGGACTGCTCTCTCCAGCGACGGGCACTTTCAGCACAGCCAGCGCCCAAGCTGCCCCTCCACCCGGCCCTACTAAATGGCTACAAATTGGAGGATAAAAGCACAGGCTTTCAAGCAATTTTGCCTTCAATCTCTGGGAACTGCCGCTCCCGGAGTCGCTGTGTGAGGACGGAGGAGGAGAGAAGAAAGACACGGAGTCTATTGGGCCCGAGACTGCACAAACAAACAGGCAGGGCCTCTGCAATTCCAGTTGCTCTCATAGTCCTAGCCTGGAGGACACAGAGCTGTGCTGGAGCCCAGCAGTGCAGCTGCTGTTTACTGAGCACCTACTGTGTCCTGGTGCCAGGGAGCTAGGTGGCCAGCAGAGCAGCACAGATGTGGGCCCTGAGCCAGAGGCAGAGGACCCCTGGGATAAGCAGTACAAGATCATAGTCGCCCTGGGTCTGGGAGGAAGACCAGCTATCCAAGAGAAGGACAGACATCTACTTGGATTGTAAGTCAGGGCCCTGACCAGGCTGAGGGCCACCTGGAGGAGCAGAGCTCAGAGTCAGCAGGGTCCCCCTGGGTGCTGACACTGGCTGTACATGTCAGTCATCTCTTCACCCTTGACACTGACTCTGAAGATGCCCCATGAGGAAAAGGTCCTGACACCTGGGGACCTTCCCAGACTAAATGAAGAGCCTAAGCTACTGGGGGCCCCATCAGGTAAACCTAGTCCCCTCCTCCACAAAAGGAGAAATGACCCAGAGCCAGGGCTGTGAGTGGGGATGGCTGGGGTCTCCTTGGCAATGCTTGCAGAGTCCTGTTATATAAAAGTCACATGACTGGTGACCACCTCTCTGTTCTCCATCCTATCTCAGTGCTTTTGGATAGGTTTCAGGGTGTGTGGAACCTTTCACCGACAGTTAATTGTGCTCCTGCTGTGTGCTAGCCAAGGTAAGCACCTGTGTTCTCACAGAGACCCCTCAGTACTGTGCACATTCTCCATTCTGAAGACGCTCCCCATGTCACATATCGGCAGTTGGCAAGAAGCCAGCCTTTGAAGCCAAGCCTGATGTGGAACCCACACTCCTTCCACTCCATCGCTTCCTCACTGAGCAGTTACTGTGCTTTAGATACCATGGGATGGCAGTGTCTGAGCTGGACCCTTCTGCAGGACAGCATCCAAGCTCCTGTCATCTGAGGGCATGGTGGCTGGCAGGGGTTGTCCCAGGATGGGAAAGAAAGCAGGATGTTTGAGAAAGATTCTATTGATCTTAACACAAAGAATTTGTTACTGAGATTTTGAGATGGGATTTCATGTAGCTCAGGCTGACTTCCAATTCATTATATAGTCAAGGATGACCTTGAACTTCTGATCCTTCTGCCTCCACCTTCTGGTGATAGGATTCTAAGCATGAGCCACCACATCTGGTTTTATGCGGCACTGGGAATGGAGCCTAGAGCCTCAAGCATATCAAGCAAACACTCACCCGCTGAGTTACCCCTCCAGCCCTCAAAACACTTGCTGAGTTGGGTGGTGCTGGTACACACCTTTAATTCCAGCACTCGGAGGAGAGAGAGGCAGATGAATTTCTGAGTTCGAGACCAGCATGGTCTACAGAGTGAATTCCAAGATGGCCAGGACTACATAGAGAAACCCTGTCTTGAACCCCACCCCCCAAACAAACAAACAAAAACAAAAAAACACTTGCTGGGCACTCACTGTATGCCCTCCACTGTGCTGAGACAAGGAGTCAGAAAAGCGGCCCCTGCCTTCCCGAAGCAGTAAATACGTCAGTGGTGTGGGGAAGAAGAGAGGAGCAGTGGAGTCGAGGCTCAGTTGCCCAGGTGGCAGAGGAGTGTGCTTCAAAGGGACACCGGGACTTTGAGGCCAAGAGTTGCCCATCTCCTCAGCAGGTCTGTGTTGAGTCTGAAAGTAAAACCTAGCCATCTTAGGGAATAGCCAGTCCTCTGCCTGACCATGCCAGCATGTATGAGCATCCAGGTCGGGTGGGTGTTGGGGGTCCTAGGCTCTGCTCCTCTGCAGCTTGGGTGCAGCAGCTTGGTTTGGGGTAGCTAGGCACTAGCATCACTCAAATATGCATCCTGGCAGGGCTCCCCTGCTGCCCCTTGCCCTTCCACCACCCGCCAGCAGGAAGTGGCTCTTGGGTTTCTGAGGGCCTCCTGTCATTACCAAAATTGCTCTACCGCTGGCAGTGCCCGCACCTGCTGTCAGTGGGTAGTGCCACCCTAACCTGGCATTAAGCGCTTGGGTCCCACCTCCCTGCAGGAAGGCAAACTTCAGGGGGTGGGGACTGGCTTGGGGGCACTGTCTGTACCTGGAGGGGCCACCTTCCCACTGCTTCTCTGTCTCAGCTCCACAGTGGGGCAAGCACAGGATCAGGAATGGTAGCATGGGGTCTAGTCCAGACTGGCTGTTTCCTAGCTGTGTGGCCCCAGTAGGTCCCTCAGCCCCAGGACCAAAGAGCCCTTCCTTTCCCTGGGGTCCAATAAGGACAGAGGGATATCTCAATTCTGATGTCCAAGCCTTACGGCACATTGACGATCACAACTGGGGTGAAGACACAAGGGACCCTAGAAGAGGCTTTGGCTGTGTAGAGGCCAGGGAAACCTCCCTGTACCTGAAAGGGTCACCATGGACTGTGATCAGACCATAATGATGCCAAGGACACCTTTGGGCAGTTACACCATGCTCCAGGCCCTACTCTGAGTTCTTTTCTTAAACTCTAGTTCTCAAATAGAGTGACTTCTATTATTCTCATTTTACAGATGTGGAAGCTGAGGCACAGGGGTTAGGTGGTTAACATCTCACAGCTGGTAAGAGGCTGAGCCACAGTTGGCTCCTTCTGTGATTACTTTTCCAGTTGTTTAGCACCAAGGGCTACCTTCTTGTACCTCTCTTGAGTCCAACCTGATAGGCCCTGCTCAGGAGTTGCATTCTTCCCCACAGAACCAGTCCTTCCTTACATTTAGTTCTGTGGAGCCACAGCATCCTGCTTTAGATGACCACTGAGTCGTCACTTGGGAGGTAGAGGCAGGAGGTGCAGAACTTCAGGGTCATCTTTGACTGCAGAGTGTGTGGAAGCCAGCCTTGGACACTTGGGGCTCTGTCACACAAAAGGAAACGAAGAAGGACAGCCAGGTGTGGCTTATGCCTGTAATCCTAGCACTTGGTGGGGGGAGGTAGTCTAAGGCAGAAGGACCACCTTAGGTTTGAGGCTAGCCTGGGCTACCTGTCTCAAAAAAATACAAATAAATAAATAAACAAACAAAGAAATAAAGGAAGGAAGGAAGCAAGCAAGCAAGCAAAGAGAATAAAGGAAGACCTAAACCCAGAAGTTCAAGCATTCAAT